ATGGCAATTTTCGATTCTGTGGCTGTGCGTGTGGTGGAATTCACACACCAAGTTATGATTTCTTTGTGAAGGATCTGATTGTATAGGCCTTGGCCACCTGGTGTCTCTAATTTTACTAATGGCGAATACGATGTCCGAAACATCGACATTGAAGTTGTATTCCGACAAGCGGAGTGTCTCCGCCGGCCCTGCGCACCTATCAAACCCGGCTCTGCTGACGAGTCCCCGAGGGTTCTGCCCTCGGCCCGTTCTTTGATCATTCCGGGGTATGTCATGCCTCGGGGCATTTCTCCTATCGTCGATGTATGGCTGGTACCTTTCTTTGTTTGGCTTCGACTCCTTCGCCAGAAGCCTGCTTGGATATACCGAGCCCGAGGGGGCTCCTAGTTGGTCATCTTCGACCCTGATCTTTGATTGGTATCGGTTGTGGACGTCCGACCAAGTCACGGCCGAGTATTTGACTAGGTTCTGTTTCAGCTGTTTCGAAGCCACCGAGCTTCGTTCATTCAGACCTTGAGTGAAGGACTGCACTTCCCAGTCATCGGAGACCGGTGGTAGTTCCATTCGTTCCATTTGAAAGCGAGATACGAACTTTTGCAGCATTTCATTCTCCCTCTGCTTGATCTTGAAGACGTCAGATTCCCTTGTTGCTACTTTGATGGCACCAGCATGTGCCTTTATGAAAGAATCTGCCAACATGGCAAATGAATCTATCGAGTTTGGGGCAAGGTTGTGATACCACATCATTGCCCCTTTAGAAAGCGTTTCTCCGAACTTCTTCAGTGGGACGGACTCGATCTCATCGTCCTTTAGGTCGTTGCCCTTTACTGCACAAACACATAGGGGATTAATTAAGCTGCAAGGATCGTGAATCAAAGGAAGGGAAGAATGAGACCATAATTTGGAAGTCGCCCCCGACCGAGACCTAGATGGCAACCTAACCGAGTACTAAATAATTGAGAAAGGGAAGACCCACCCCCCCAGAGCCAGAACACAGGCGCCGACCTCTCCGCCACCAGCACAAGTGAATAAGAAAAGATCACGTCGCCAAAGGTGGCGGTATCACCGTCTACAGGTCGAGTCATGAGATCTAAAGTGCAAATACTCGACGCCGTGAATCAAGAAATTCGGGTGATATACATACGAAGGCGTTAAATTCAATAGAAATCGGTCGTACCTAGCCTCGATTCACGTCGCAAACATTGTCCAATGATTCATGAAAACATGCAAAGAGCAGAGTTGGCGCATCTGATCTTTCTTCTTCAATGCCAGGCATAAAGAGCTAGCGCTAAAAGCAGGGGATGAATCTTTATCGACTTCCTTTTGAATAACTTGGATAACATCTTTATGGACATCTGAGAGAGTTTCTTTCTACTAGTGCTCCTCCTCCTGCTAATGCTAGTGCAACTTTGAAAGTTGTTAAAGCAAAGATTCGATACCTCTTTTATTATTAATTAATAATTGTGGGGATCGTAGACCACTAAGGAGAGAGGCCAGTCTTCCTACTCAGCATAGGACTTAGCTGGGAAGAGACTTTCTTCTTCTCCCCCTGTCGATCTGGGAGCGCCTCGGTAATTACCTAACGAGAGAGAGCCGATGCAAAAGTAGTCCTTTACGCGAGGAAACGCCAGACAGACTGACCTCTGCTAACTACGTTTTATATAGACTGGAAGCTAGAGAGATACTAAGGTATAGTGCTGCTACCAGAGAAGGCTCTTTCATGCTAGGCGTCCAGACCTACTATACCCGAGCAGCATCCCCGGCACACTTGCTATATCTACTAACGCTTCATCCTAACCAACTATACCTGAGTGTAAGCAGTAACGTGCTCATTGGGGTCTGAGGTTCCGTTGTACTTTGGAAGGTCTGGCATTCTGAACTTCTTCGGAATGGGTTTTGGAGCCGCTTCCTGTGGGAACTGCTTTTGTACGAACTTCTTTAAATTTACACCTTTCAAGATTGGGGGTGCGCCCAGAATCTGGTCGACCCTGGAATTGTAGGTCTCGACCTTTTTGTCGTTGGCTTCTATCTTCTTCTCGCCCGACTCGATCCTCTTTGTGAGGTCCTCGAGCATCTTTATGATGGCGGGGTCGATTGCCGACCCGTTGTTGCTTGACCTCTCTGGTACCTGCTTGGCTAGGGGAGCCATCCCCGGTGCTACCGTGCTGGGAGTTTTCTGGTGACTTTGCAGCTGAGCGATCGCCAGTTGTTGTGCCTGTAACATTTCAAAAATAACGTGAAGGCTAACCTCTCATTCTTCCCTAGCTGGGGTTTTTTGAGCTTATTGTTGATCTTCTTGGTGTATGCTCCTGTTGGTGTGGGAGCTTATTTCGACGTGTTGAGCGTTGCGCGAGACCACGTCCACCGGAATTGATTCTAGTGCATTCTCAGGGTTTTGTGGTGGCACACCAACACCTGGGATGTCAACACCATTTTCTCCATGGTCTTCAAGATTGATGTTTTCACGTGCGTTTACTGAGTTAGACATTTTGACCTGAAATCAAAGATCTTGGACAAGAAAAAGTGTGAAAGATAACTTGCGTTACGTAGCTAAACCAGCAAGAAAATAATCACTATTATTCTTAGCCCCACGGTGGGTGCCAAACTGTTTACCTTAAAAATGGTAATTACAATTAGATTTGATTTTGTGGTTCTAAAAATACATGATCTATTTTTATGCTAGTTATTTAGGCAATAGATGTTAAGTAAGAGATTAGAAAACGAGATAAGAGCTTGAAAACAAGGTGATAACCGAACCAATAGGCTGGTAAGTGGGGCCTCGCGCTTGCTTATTCGGGGCCTCGAGGTCGAGTCCTATACTCTATCGTGGGCGGTCGATGGAGGGGCTAACAGTTATGATAGATTCAATGATGGCTCTTTATGGCCAATAACAAGCAATAAATGAAGAACAATAAATAGAACACAATGAATGTAAGCAATAAATAAAAGTAATGAGCTCAAGAGAATATGTTAGATAGCAGAGAGAATGTTCTTGTATATTTAGTATTGAGCAACAGATGTCTACAAAATGACGAGGATTCCCCTTTATATATGAGGGGAACATAGTACAAATGCATTAATTACAAAGATATGGGGTAGGTACAACCACTTAATGCCCTAATACGGGTTAGAGTTAGCCCTGTAGACTTTGTCAGCTCTAGTCGTGCGCCTAGGGAACTTTCCACTTTTCTACCATAATCGTCGACTTGCACTGTCTCGGGGCTGGACACCGATGGCCCCTCGGGACAAATCTTGACCGTAGTCTCGAGCCTTTGGAAAGCTTGCTTATGAGGCATTATAATGGCCGAAAATTGGACCCTCCAATTTGTCGGTTATCAAGATTCATAACTCACCTTACAGCTTCAGTGGGTAACTTCTTCCTAGATTCTAGTTGTTATTGCTGTTGGAAACCCAATTTATTGGACCTTTTTGTTTTACCCCTGTTGTTGTATGCATCTTATTCTAGATCCTTTGTCGCTTGATTTGATATGGAGAAGCAAAGCAGCACAGATAAAAGTGGTACTCCCTCCGTTTCATATTAATTGAGATACTTTTCTTTTTAGTCTGTTCCAAAACAAATGATACATTTTTAAATTTGGAAATAATTCAACTTTAAACTATTCATTTTACCTTTTTTGCCCTTAATGAGAAGCTTTTATAGCCACACAAATGGCATGGCCCCACGAACCTTTTACCCCTTAAGCTTTTAAGACCACAAGTTTTAAAAGTTTTCTTCTTTTTTCTTAAACTCCGTGTCGAGTTAAACTATCTCAAATAATATGAAACGGAGGGAGTATGAACTTTCTCGAGTTTGGCGATATGATTGTATGGTCTAGGAGTAGAATATGCATAAACCTTAGCGCCAAAATTTGTACCAAACGTTGATAAGAGGAACTGACTAGCATTAAATGACTTACATCTTGTCATCTTGATTCTTGAGACAGGAGGAGTAAATAGTTGCCACTGGGCCATTTTAAGCAATGTTTCCCTTTCTTAGAACCTTTTCATGCGTGTATATATGTGTATATATTGGTTCATTACTGACGGGTAATTTCTGAGCACGTAAAAAAACTACGTTCTATTTGTCTTCTTTTTTTCCCAATTAGTTAACTTTCAAACAGTTCAAAAGGAACATCTTTCGGCAATTTCATTTATTAAACGGTCTTTTATATATATATATACGCAGACTTCCAACTTTTCTTTTCCCCTTAAGAAGTGTAGCTACTCATTCCTTTGCATCTGTAAATTGTAAATTAGATGTTCCAAACTACCAATAAGGTACCACGCAAATTGGTGTCTCTTTCTTTCAATTATTTTCAAGATTATTCGGTGAAGATCGAACTTTGCCACCTTTATTAAAATGTAATAAAGTAGCATCTTTAAAATGTAATATAAATCGTAGCAATAAGCTACCAATCAATTCTTACATTGGTGGCTCTTTCTTTAAATTAATTAAAAAATTATCACCGAAGATGGAATTTTTGCGCCTTCAAAATTATAAAGTAGCCGTCCTACCAATGAACTACCACTCAATTCTCAAATTGGTGATTCTTTCTTTCTACAAATATTTTTTTTATTTACAATTATGATCTCCTTTTTTATTTCTTGGGGAGGGGAAGAAGGGTATAATTGTTTGTTTGACTATGTACCTCTATGTAAAATGTCTCAAAATTACACAAATAGCTCTTAACGTGGATGATCTTGAGTTTTAATACTTGCTTGCCTCATGAGTAAAACTTCAAATTTAATAAATGTTGCCCCTCACTAATCTCATGGGCAATGCTTTTAATTTTATATATTGAAGTACTACTACCCATGAGGCAAGTAGTGGTCAAAAGTTTAGACCATCCCAAAAAAGTGTCACATTCTGCAATTTTTTACTTAGTTATGGTACAAATGGGCCTAATGCCTAATTGTCGTAAGCGAAGCTAAATAGGACTGAACTTAGCGGCCTAGCCCAAAACCAAATCCAACCAAGTACATTTAATTACCAAAAACCCCCCATCTAAAACCCTTAATTTTGATTGAGAAAAGCACAAATCGAACTTCATCAACCGGAAATTATTAACTTCTCCGATGGCTCTAAGCCTGAGAAAAGCAGCCGGAGCCTCTACACTGTTCAAATACCTAAGTCCCAAATCCCATTTTACCACCGCCCCACCTTCAATCACACGCCTTTTTTCCTCTACTACCACCTCGGATTCAGATTCCACGAGCAAGGAGCAAAGCAACTCTCCAGAGCCAAGTAATTGATTCATCTGTTTAGCCCCCCCTTTTCTTATTTACTGTTTTATATTATGTGATATTTGCACAATTATACTAGGTAAACATTTTAGGTTTAATTAGTCAATTATTGACACATTAAATTACGCCCAGACTCTTTTTAGTTTAGTAAGAGATTGATAATAGTATACAAGTTAGTGTTAGATTTAGGTAATATTGCTAATTTTTTTGCCTAGGGCTTAGGTCGAGTGGTAAGAGCAAGACGTGATGCATGGTTAGGTGCAAGTCAAGAGTTCGAATGTATTTAAGTGGAAAAGGGTAGATGGAAAGCTATTGCCACCGGCCTTAGGGATTTCTCGGTTATAAAAAAAATAAAATAAAAAATAGCTTCACATGATTCATGTAGTCAATCCTAGTTAGTTTGGGATTGAGCCGCAATAGTTGTTTTTAACCATTTATTTACTCCTATCAAAGTTGTGTTTTTCGGCTTCCTCGATATTATTTGCAGTTATGGTAAAGGGTGCTCCGCAAGATATCAAAATGGAGAACCCATTTCAGTCAGCTGGACCTTCGAACGTGCTAGAAGTGGATAATGTGAAGGATGGAATACTTGTGAGAGTGGCAATGCCAGGTGTTAGTGAAGATCGAATTAAGGTATGGTTAGAGAACAACACAGTTTACTTTACTGGGAAAGGAGAAATCGAGCTGGAAAGTGAGAAATCAGGGAGGAAATATGGAGGAAGTCTTGAGTTTAAGACTGATTGTTGTAAAGCTGAGAAGGTTGAAGCACAAATCAAAGATGGTATTCTTAGAATGGTAGTTAAAGGTGAGATGGGAGAAGAGGGATAGCTTTGAGTTTCTATTTTTTGTTTTCTTTTTTTTTTTTGATGTAATGCTTTGACATGATTTATGAAAGATTTATAGGGTTTGGGAAATATTTGCTCAAATGTCAATGCTAGATGATGGTGTTAGAATTTCTAAATATTAGGAGAGTGATTGCAAATATTTTGAGAAAAATGATACTTCTTGCTGTGTATACCTTGAATCATAGTACTAACATATTTTAAATTTTGTCTCTCTATCTTTATAGTCTCTCTATCTTTATAAGGTAGGGGTAAGGTCTGCATACGCACTACCCTCCCCACACAGCATTTATAGGAACACACTAGGTTTGTTGTTGTTGTTCATCAATTAGCTAAGTTGCTCGGACAGGTGCAAGTGTCCGACACGGATGCGGAGAGGTCGGATCCTTCGAGATGTAGATTCTAAGTTTCGGTATACAGATCATAGTAAAGATATGGGTGCAGGGATCCGGCTAAAACTGATTCAAAACAATAAGGATCTCTAAATTATGAGAAATTTTGTGGAATATTACGTATAGCTTGTGAAGTGTGGATTTTTTTTTTTATTCTGAAGTTGTAGATAAGTACAGGATTGAGTTTATAAGGTATGCTATTTTCTTCAAATTTATCCTAGTTTTGGTTCTGCTTTTGGGAATTAAATTGTATCTCGTCTCGAATTTTTCCATTCGTATAGATCAAAGTACCCAAAATTATTTAACCAGATCCGTTACAGATCCTATACCCACACCCATATTAGAATCGGTGAGGCACCTCATTATCCTTGTCGGGGCAACTTAGTCGATTAGTACTTCTCTTGAGCGAACATCTGATAAATAGTTAGAGAGCCAAATGCTGGAAAATTGTTACAAGTTCAAGCAATATGAAGTTCTGATATTTGCTAACTCTTTAATTTTAATTGACGAATTAAAGGACAAATTTTTCCTGCATAGATGAGTTTATGTTGATGGCATCTATTCCATGGAGATGAACTAGCAATAGAGATCCACTACTAGATTAAATCTTCTTTTAGAACTTGAACAGCACTGCCTTTCTCCATAGTTGTTAACAAAAGTGTTTTATTTAGTTAACTGTTGAACTGATTCATGTTTTTCTTATCTGGTATAGTCTCTTTTGTTCTTTTTTTCTTTTGCTACTCAATTAGCAAGGAAACACACTTGCTTTAGGAGATTGCTTAACTACATTAAGCATGTTAATGTGTTTAAAGATAAGGGGGGCAGAATATAAAGAAACTGGTTTTTTATACATGAAAACAAAAGGAGAAAATCATAGTATTCAAATGGAAACACAAGATTCCCAACAAATAAACACTTAAAAGAATATGTATTCGAGTTCTTGTTAAGATAAGTCAAACTCTTTGTTCATTCGATTAATCAGCCATCTTCTTTGTAGTCATCCAACGAAAGCTCAGTAAACTAAAAAAGAAGGCGAAAATCCGGCTATGGTTCTCGTTGATCATATGGCTCTTTACTCCACCATGTTTTTCCTGGTGATGATTTCTAATATCTCCTCTAACAATCACTTGCTTTCTCCCAACATCTATTGTATACTCCCTCAACCCTGTCAAGTTTAGTCACAGAAGTTGAAATTCAAAACTTTATGCACATTCGTATTTGTAATTTCTTTAATGGAAAATGTCTTCCTATCCAGACACCAGAAAATTACTTCCTCGTAGAGAACACTTTAGATGGAGAGTATTTTTTCAATGGGAAGTGATTTCCGTCATACCTAACACTACAGCTCGGTGCACTAAGCTCCCGCTATGCGCGGGATCCGGAGAAGGGCCGGACCACAAGGGTCTATTGTACGCAACCTTACCCTGCATATCTGCAAGAGGCTATTTCCATGGCTCGAGCCCGTGACCCCCGGCCATATGACAGCAACTTTACCGGTTACGCCACAGTTACTCTTCCCCATCATACCTAACACTGTGCCAGAAAAAAAAATTATTATGGGAAGCGTACTCTTCCTCACCTGATATCTTTGAGATGACTTGAGATATTCTATGCCTGCAATGTGTGCATCCCAAATTTGCATTCACCACCACCACCTGAAACTAATATCACCAATCCTCATAAGAAACTAAACATCATGAATTGACCAAAAAGAGAAGTCTTCATCATATATTATTCTGAAAACATGACTTTCCCTTGCTAAAACACCAAGAAAATGAAAGGAAAAGTCATAATTAAGAACCTACCGACGGAAGCTTAAGCTTAGCGACATTTAACAGAGTCTGCTTTTGATCACTTTTCTCCATGCTGTTGCTCCTGAGATTTTTCCTCTGATAATTGTGATGAATGATTTAAAGGAAGAGACTTGTTGGCCTAATGGGCTAATTATATTACACAGCTTGGTCAACATAGATATATTAATACCTTGTAACTTATCCTAACTAATCACTTTTCAACACATACTCTAATACATCCAAAGTATAAATAAATAGAACAATTATTTATTATAATCCCTCCTATATGTTCCAGATTACAAGGTTAAGAATTAAGATAAATGCGTTTAAAACTGGCAGATTGAGAGTAATGAGGGCTAGTTGGGTAAGAATTTGTCATGTTATGGCCACCAATAACGAACTTTCCCCTTTTTACCTGAAGGTGGTCTTCACATTCCCATCAAATACTTGTATTCAAATGCTAATAATACTAGGTGCTGACATTCAGACAAAGATAGAGATTTGTTTATTTTATCTGTATGGGAACTGCCATAATTTATTTAGTTAGTGAAACAGGTTAACAGCTACTAGTAAGAGAGTATAATATAAAATAGGGATACCTCATTACTCTTTGAGCAACAGTATTATTTAAGTATGCCGCCAACTAACCAAATAATAATTATCAGCAGACTCCCTTGGCCCCTATCTCAACATCCAATACGTAGAACATATGTATTCTCCAAATTATATGACACATTGACCACGAAATCAGCTTTAGCCTTCTCCTAGGACATTGGTAGAAAGTTCCACTCCTGTATAGCATGTTCTTCATCTTCGAAAAAAAAAAACAGTCATTTCTCTAACACAAAACTGGATGAAATTATCTTTCAATTTTCCTTAAATTTCTATTGATTTGTGAAGAGCCAGCTACAGAAACCACTGTATCGATTGGACAATATGTCACTCTAATTGGCATTGGGACTCAAAGCGACAAAGCCTCGAACCCATCCAAGATTACTTAAATTAAAAAAGAAAAGAAGACAGCCCCAAGACATTGGTCTAGTATAATAGCGCAATGCGTGATGTATGAGTTTAAGCACATGTCGTCGGTTCAAACTCTCCACCAAGTTTTGAAGGGTAAATTTTAAAAATAGCCAGATTTACAATTGGTCGTTCAAAAATAGCCTAATTTCAAAAGTAATCGAAATTTAGCCACTTTTTATATAAAGATAAATCTGAGCGATAACACTATTCAAAACCCGGAAAATACTCCAGTATATTATGCTGGAGTTCCAGCATAAGTATACTTGAACTCTAGCATATTATACTGGAGTTCCAGAATAACTATGCTGGAACTCCAGCATAATATGATGGAGTTCCAGCATAAGTACACTAGAACTCCAACATAATATACTGGAATTCCAGCAAGTATATTGGTCCAGTATAATATACTGGAGTTCGGAGCACCGGTGCTCCAGTCTCCAGTATATTATACTGGAGCCAGCAAAGTATACCGGTCCAGCATAATATGCTGGAGTTCATACACAAGTGCACCAAACTCCAGTATATTATGCTGGACCGGTCTCTATTGCAGCAAAATAGTGGCTATTTTTCATTGACTTGGTAAATGCTGGCTATTTTTGATTGACCAGTCCGAAAACTGGCTATACCGTGCTATTTTTACGTTTTGAACCGTACGCCGTTGGCCTTGAGAGATTATTCAGTTATAAAAAGAAAAAGGAAAAGGTGGAAACCAAATAACTCATAGAGGGGCAAGCTCAAGTAATTCCGACATCATGCTCGCGATATCAAATTCATGGCTTCTACATGTTGACAAACAGCAAAGTGAATAGTAAAACCAGAATTCTCAGAATCATATCTATAACAATATCTATCGAATATAAGTCTGCATTTCGTGTGCTTCTCCAGACAGGACTTAAATGCTTCTCCACAGAGACGTCAAAAACGCAATATGGATTTCATTTTAAGACCGTTGTAAGCACAACGCTTAATTTTTCACTTCATAACATGGATGTGTGTGTGTTAGGACTGGTTTTTGACTTTCAGATACAATTTCCCAGGTGAATCAAGAATCTCATAATCCATCTCATGTCAATCAGGCCTCTCGAACCGAACTGCATGCAGTTTCCTCAGCATATGATTTGCTATCCGTACCGGAAATGGACTCTCACATTAAACATCAAGCGCTTGCCAAACTAAAATAGAGACGATGCGAGAAAATAGACATATTCAAAGAATAAAACTGCACCCAGCCATGTTTTTCCTCAAAGAGCTCTCAGAAAGTACAGCAGATCCACTTCGTTTGTGTTCATCGCCCTGCATGAAGACATAACAAAGAGCAGTCGTGCATGATGGGGATGATGATTCCCCAGCTCCCAAAGTATTGCAAATATATAGTTAAAAACCGAGAGGAAAATAAATACAAAAAGGTAAAGAAAGTTTCCAGCTTTTAACAAAGGAAAACAATCTCTATTCAGCCAGAGATTTCACCAACCACCAGGCTTTGCAGTTGCTCAAATGATCCCCATTTAGAAATGCATTAATTCCTTCCAACTCCCCCTTTTGTACAAAATGAGATGCAGATGTATGTAAATTTTCATCATTCTCAAACACAAATTATACTCCTAAGCAAATCCCACCCCCACCCCCAAAAAAAAAAACCACAATCTCTCCCTCTCTCCTGATCGAGTACACAACACTGTTTTGATACACTTCAAGAGTGCTTAGGAAATACAAAAATCATTATCTAAAAGAACAAAAAGTATGTTCCATTCTTGACTCATCCTGTAACTTAAGCTATATCAAAATGTTAGACAGAATTCTAGTTGAATTTTATACAAATATTTCAAGTAGAAAAAATCCTGATGAGATTAAAAGAGGTCTCAAAAAGGGAAATCACTCTCCCAGACTAATTGATACAGGACTAACAGGTTTTCTCACTGCAAATCTATGTCTAACAGTCAAGGAACTAACCAATCTTAAAGAAATTCCATTTAAATTAATACCAAGATCAACCGTCAATTTTTGGTAAAGCCTTTGATATTTACAGTCATACCCATTCTTACACTAGGTCACCACACAATAAACCTTGCAAAGCCTAGGCGGACTTAGAGCTCCAATAGAAGCCCATGAAATCCAAATCAAAAACCGGAACATCCTACGAGAAATCTGAAGTATGGGTTAATTCTTTACCTTTATAAAGCTTTCCAAAACCAGAAGACACATGATGGAATATACTTCAGAGTTTGCTCAGTAGTCTTGTCAGCAATTCTTCTAGAGTAGGGAGTACTTTATGTTGGCCCAAGTTCAGATGAAGTTTTGAAGATTGACAAAATGAACTCAGTCATGAACCAGGTCCATCATGTGAGACACAGTGTTGATATGCTTGCACATGTGACATACGCGGGAAGAAGATAAGTCTCAAGGAGGATCAGCAACAATATCTTCTGAATTAATCGAAAAGATTGCATACAGGATAAGGAGTTGAAGTCTCCTTATGAAAAGAGAATTATATCCGGATCAAGGATATGGATTAGGAGTTAGAGTTGTTCTTGGACTCGAATTGTCAAAGGATCCACAATTCGAGTTCTTATCAAACTCTGATAACTAACTCAATAAATATAACGATTGTTTTCTTTTACAGGCGATTGCACATAAGCAGAAGTTAAGCATATTTGAGAGCAAAAGGATCAAGTCTGATTTGCAAGCAACATATGCGAGATACAAGTGTGCACGTCTGAAGCTACATGAACTAAAATAGAAGAACCAGTTTCATCATTGTGTTTATTCTAAGTCTAGTTCAATTGTAGTAGGTTTTCATATTGTACCTTTCAGCTTTCATAGAAGCAATTGTAATAGGTATATTGAGTATTCAAGTTAGAGTTAACTTGAAAGTGTCGCAACAGTTGAGGCTGTGTGCTACACTGGGATTAGAGTTAATCCTTAGGTTTACAAAGAGTTTTGTAAATGCAGTTTTTGGCTCAGTGATTTTAATGGAGTTTGGGAAAATCCTACTGAGTAGTAGGTCGTGGTTTTTTCACCTTATGAGCCAGGTGTTTTCCACGTAAAAATCTCTGTGCACTTTACTTTCAGCATTTATTATTCCGCAAACTGTTGTAGTTAGAACACTTAGAAGAACCAGGTTCTTCTAACGCGAAAATTAGGTACCACATAAATCACCCCCCCCCTCTTGTGTGGTATTGACGTTTATAACATCAATTGGTATCAGAGCAGGTTATCCTTGAAGAGGTTAACACCTTAGGAAAATATCAACATGAGTGCACCACCTGGGTACTGGGAAGGGCAATCCATTGCCAGGCCTCCTCTCTTCAATGGTCTCTACTACTCCTGGTGGAAAAACAGAATGAGGGACCATATAATGGGCGAAGACTATGAGCTTTGGGATATCATCATTGATGGTCCTTTAGCCACAACCAAGAAGAATGCTGAAGGAGTGGATGTTCCAAAGACAAGAGTAGATTGTACTGAAGATCTAAGGAAATGAGAGAAAAATGCAAAAGCCAAGAAATGGATAGTGTGTGGACTTGGTCCTGATGAGTACAGCAGGATTCAAGGTTGTACTACTGCCAAGGAGATTTGGGACACTTTACAAGTGGCTCATGAAGAAACACCTCAGGTGAAGAGGTCAAGAGGAACATTGTTGTATTCTCAATATGAGAATTTTACTATGAAGGATGGAGAAACTATCCAAGAAATGTATATCAGGTTCACTACACTGACAAATGAACTTGAGTCTCTTGGAAGGATTATCCTGGAAGAAGACAAGGTGGAGAAGATTCTAACTAGAGTTGAGAAGGCAAACAATGAAGATGGATGAATTGATTGGAAATCTCACTACCTATGAATTGAGAAGGCAAACAATGAAGATGGATGCTCCAAAGAAAGAAAGAAGTCTGGCTCTCAGAATTTCAGAAGGATCAGATCTTGAAGATGATGAAATGGCTATGATAACCAGAGATTTCAAGAAATATCTTATGAGAGGAAAGGGTGCTTCAAAAGGAACAACATTCAGCAAACCGAGAGCTCCTGAGAAACAAACCAATGAGGGGTGTTACAAGTGTGGGAAGACTGATCACCACATCAGAAACTGCCCTCAATGGGAGATTGAATGGAAGAAAGAAAGAGCTGAAAGAAGAAACAGGAAGAAGGAACAGGTTCAACCAAAAAGAAACAAAGGTTCAACTAAGGCTATGGTTGCTGCTTGGGGGGAAACATCAGATGAGGACTCTGAAGATGAAGCTGAGGAGGATCAAGCTCAAATGGCCATCGGAGAATCAGAAGATGAACAGGAGGTAAGTATTCTACACCTTAAAGAAAAAATTAAGTTCATGTCTAAGGAAAAACTGGCTGATCTGCTGATGGATTTCATAGATGAGTCTGAAATAATAAATAGTGAGAAGGATGTTCTGTCTAAGGAATGTGTTATCCTAGAAGAAAAATGTAAAAGGTTAGAGTCTAGGGCTGATGAGAGTGATAACACAAATACTGAGTTGAAGAACCAGGTTCATCAACTTGAAAATAAGATTCTAGAACTTAGATCGGAAAATATTAAACTGAAATTAGGGACAGAAAAGAAAAGGGCTGATCAATCATTTCTCACCCTAGAAGAAAATCTAGGAAAAATGAAAGATGAACTGTACAAGAAAGATGAATTGATTAAAGTCCTAAAAGAAGATTTAGGAAAGGTAAAGCATGAACTAGACAGAACATGCAAATGGAACAAGGCTTCCGATGCACTCTCCTGGCTGCAAGAACATCATAGTAGCAACAAGAGAGGACTTGGATTTGGGACACAAGCTCCAAAATGGGATCCCAAAAACAAGTATCTCACACTTCCTGAAAATAAGATCTGCACACACTGTGGTAATACTGGTCATCACAAAAATGAATGTAATGCAAGAGAAAAGGCCAGTCAAAAGAACAAAGCCTTTGTTCAAGAAAAGCACAAACTGCCTGGTTGGGCAAAGAAAAATTTAATTCATCCCTTTGCCCATAGCAAACTAGTTTGGGTTCCTAAGACTAACCCATGATTTCGTTTTGCAGGACCAAGTGAAGGGAAGTAGTCAAATATGGTACATGGATAGTGGCTGCTCAAAACATATGACTGGTAACAAGAACCAATTCCTTTCACTTGAGAACCTAAAAGGAGGTAATGTCTCCTTTGGAAATGGAAAGAAGGGTGAGATCATTGGTGTTGGAAAGGTAGGAAAGACAGACTCTCATTCCATTGAGAATGTCTATTTGATAGATGGCTTAAATATAGTCTGATAAGTGTGTCACAACTGTGTGACAGAGGTAACCTTGTGGCTTTCACTTCCACAAAATGTTTTGTGATTAGCCTTACAACTGACAAGATTGTTTTGCAGGGAAGGAGAGTTAACAATATTGACATTGTAGATCTGTCAACTCTTTCTGAAAATGAACTAACTTGCTTGAGTGTGTTAATTAATGATCCCCTCCTTTGGCACAAAAGACTTGGCCATGCCAGTCTAATATCAAGTTCAAGGAAGACAAAGTTTGTGAGGCATGTGCAAGGGGGAAGCAGGTAAGGTCATCCTTCAAAACTAAGAAAATGGTAAGTACGTCCAAGACGTTGGAACTGGTTCATATGGATCTTTGTGGTCCAATGAGAACCATGAGCAGAGGTGGTAAAAGATATATAATGGTGCTTGTTGATGATTATTCTAGATTTACCTGGGTATTGTTTCTAACTTCTAAAGATGAAGCATTTGAAATGTTCACTACTTTTATTAGAAAAACCCAGAAACAATTAGGAAATCAACTTGCATCCATTAGATCCGATCATGGAACTGAATTTGAAAATGCACAATTTGCTAAATTTTGTGATGAAAATGGAATAGATCATAATTTTTCTGCCCCTAGGACTCCTCAGCAAAATGGGGTAGTTGAAAGTAAGAACAGGACCCTTGAGGATATGGCAAGGACCATGCTACTTTCTAGTAAACTACCTCATAGCTTCTGGGCAGAGGCTATAAACACTGCTTGTTATATAATAAATAGATGCATGACTAGACCTCATGTAGAGAGAACTCCCTATGAGTTACTTAAAGGGAGAAAACCAAACATATCCCATCTTAGGGCTTTTGGTTGTAAGTGCTATGTGCACAATAATGGCAAAGACTCCCTAGGTAAGTTTGATCCCAGAAGTGATGAGGGAGTATTCTTGGGATATTCTTCACATAGCAAAGCATACAAAGTGTTTAATAAAAGAACTCTATGTGTTGAAGAGAGTGTACATGTTGTGTTTGATGAATCTAACACTCTTTGTGAGAGACAGGAACATGAAGATGAAGCCATTGGACTGGTGAGACAATTGACTGAAGCAACAGCACAAGTAAAAGTGGCATCAAAGGAAGGAGCAGGTGATGGAACAGGTCCTCTCACCCAGGGCAACCTGACAGGGGGAATCAATCTGAAGGAACCTGTACCTGAACCTGTTCCTCTGCAGCATAACTATGAAGGAGAA